GTGTTCCCAAAGCCTCTGTTACGAAAGCTATCTAAAGTTTTGATTTTTATGTGTTTTGACTTTTGCAATATTGATGCTAGTTTTGCTTGTTTGCTTCCACTGGTTGTTTGGTGTATCTTAGTTATCTAATTTCTGAGGATAAAGTATGATTCCTTAAGGTTTTTGTTTTCATGAAAGTATCTATTGAATGGTTTAATGGAGTCTGTTTGTTTTGTTCACTGAATTTGTCCGAGTCTGATACTTTATCCAAGTCTTTGTTTTGATGTGTTGACGTTTGCAATGTTGATGTTTTGGTAGCTTTTGATTAACATACAATCACCTGTTGTCTTGTGTATCTTTTTCAGCATGAAATTGGAATTTTTGGTGGGTTAATCTACTGTAATGTATAATAAATAATTGTGAAAATATTCAGTGAACGACCTATTTTTCAGCATAATGCTGTCACAGTACTCGAGTTCTGAATTGGCCTGAGTGTGAAATGTTAATCAAATCTTCTTTTTGATGTGTTGCCTTTTGCAAGTTTGATGTTTTGGTAGCTTTTGTTACGATACAATGCTTTTAAAGCTTGGTTGCTTCCACCTGTTGTCCTGTGTATCTTTTTCAGCATAATCTTGCTCTTTGTAGGGTTTTGCTGCTGTCAAGTATAATCAATACTGAAACTTTCCAGTGAATGGTTTATGGTGTCACAGAATTAGATTTCATTTTCATTTTTGAATCTGTAATGTTGTTGTTTGAAGCATGTTTTATGTTTGTTTTACATTGGCTCTATTTGTTCTGGATCTTGTTTTATATCGTGCTTATCTGTTATGATGCAGATTTCGTCGGTTAAGGTTATCCGCAATAAGCACACTGGTTTGTCTGAAGGGTATGGATTTGTTGAATTTGTTTCCCACGATGTTGCGGAAAAGGTGTTGCAAGAATTCAATGGTGAAACTATGATAGATGCCGAGCAACCTTTCCGTTTAAACTGGGCTAGTTTTAGCACTGGTGAAAAGCGCTTAGAGAGTGGTCCTGATCTCTCGATTTTCGTGGGGGATTTAGCGCCAGAAGTCACAGATACTTTGTTGGAAAAACTATTTTCTGAGAAATATCCATCTGTCAAGAATGCAAAAGTTGTAATAGATGGCAATACTGGTCGATCAAAGGGATATGGCTTTGTGAGATTTGGAGATGATAGTGAGAGGAGCAAAGCTATGTTGGAGATGAATGGTGTGAAATGTATTAGCCGCGCTATGCGAATTGGTCCTGCAACCCCTAGGAAGCCAAGTGGTTATCACCAACAAGGTATATTGTATAATCTTTTATCTTTCCTTACCAAACCATGTGCTTTGTATCTATTGGTTGCGTCCTGGTTACTTGTATTTCATCTTGAATCAACAATTGCTTCTGAAGAACATGTTTTTGTTATGTACAGTACCTTTCCAGTCTCGTAATATTTGTTGGACTTTGTAGGTGGGTATATGTCAAATGGTGGCTTTCCTCGACATGATGGGGACTCATTGAACACAACAGTAAAAAAAATTCCTTGTCCATCTCCTTGAATTTAAGATGATGGGGACTCATTGAACACAACAGTAGTTGTTTTTCCATGATTGTGGCTGTGTGAAAGATGGGTATGATCATTATTCCTCCATGTTTATATTGCAGATATTTGTTGGAGGACTTGATTCTAGTGTCACAGACGAAGATCTTAGACAACCTTTTGCCGGTTTTGGTGAAATAGTCTCTGTCAAGATACCTATTGGAAGAGGATGTGGATTTATTCAGTTTGTGAACAGGTAACATTTATGCAGTAGTGAAGCTGTGAATTGTGGATGTTGACTCTAGTATTTGATTCTTGACATCTCACCCAATTTGATATGGTACTTGATGTTTGTTGCAGAGAAAATGCAGAGGAGGCTCTAGAGAAATTAAATGGGTCTATGATTGGTAAACAAACTGTTCGCCTTTCTTGGGGTCGCAATCCTGGCAATAAACAGGTAACTTTGTTATATCTTTCGTAGGATTACATTTTCGACATTCCAGTCCATTTGGTGTCTTCTAAAGTACTTTCTGTTACAAATTCTCACCGATCTTTTGGTTAATAAGACTTCCAAATCTTTCCTAGGCTGAGTTTTCTTTTACTGAATGATTTCTCGAAGGGGTGGGTGATCTAATATATGATTTGGCCTTGCTTTGGTTTCTTTATTTATGGTTTGCTGCGTTTTCGAAAGTTTCAAACTTTTTTTCTAGACTGAGTTTTTCATTACTGCCATGGATTCTGTTTAACACCAAGAACAACTATTTGTAGATAACATAAACATAGATTAATTGTAACCTTATTTATTCTGAGTTCTAGAATAAGCATTTCGGTTTGGTTTGGTTTATATGTGCAACAACGTAGTTTCTCATCTCTGACCAAAGATGTATGCTTCTTCTTTGCAGCCTAGAGGTGAGTATACTGACCCTTGGGTTGATCCATACTATGGAGGACAATATTACAACGGTTATGGATACATGGTACCACCACCTGTTGACCAGAGAATGTACCCTGTGGCACCTTATGGAGCTTATCCGTTTTACGGTGGTCATCAGCAACAACAAGTAAGCTGAGAAGAACAATAAAAGAAGTTAGTAGGTATGAGACAAAACTGTCTTCTTCTTCTCCTCTCTCTATCCTCTCCTTGGTTAGCTCCTTGGCAACGAATTTTGATAAAACCATAGTGCTACTTAATTTATGTAGGGATTTTGATTGGATTGATTTATTTTATTTGATTCTCAGATGCTTATATTATGGTACTTTATTTGATCTAGGATTGAGTTGTGGTTTGTGCATTTTGATGTCTGCTTTTGGTATCTCATACTAGTGTGAGTTAGATTAGTCTCGAACACAATTACTTTATCTTTAGGCACTAAGTGATAACCATATAAGCCTAACATAACACAAAAACACTACAAGGTGAGTGCATACATGGAGGGATTTAGAACAAACATGAACCAACACCCATACGTCCATGATCTTATATTTCCATTACAACTATGCATATATCTGAAAAATACATAAGAGCAAGACACATCCTGAAAAAACTTGTGTTGCTCAAGGGTAGAACAATACTACTATTGGGCCTCCGAGTTTGGGTTTTTGGGTCGGACCGGATTATTCAGGTTCTCAAAAACTATACCGAATTTAACCAAACAAAAAATCAGTTTGAGTTGGGTTTCGGGTCAGGTTTAGTTTTGGGTTTCTATTGTTAAAACGGTTAAACTTCAAGAAATAGTTAAATCAGTAAAAATACGGTTTAAATTTCGATATATATTTTAGTATAAAAAAAATTCTGGATATCGGGTCGGGTTGGGTACCAAACACAAATCCCAATCTCTCCAAATTAAATCGAATTTCGAATCGGTTTAAACCAAAACCTGAAAAAATCAGGTCAGGTCCGATTTTGGGTCGGGTAAAAATCGCATTGAAATCTCAGTAAGGGAATTGTTAGAAAGAACTCAAAGAAGGGAGAATTCTTTGAGAATGTGCCTAGTGTTTTGACCAGTACATAATTTTTTGTACAAGAATGATCCAATTCTGACTAATACAGATTTTGTAAAAACATCACTTATAGAATGTTCTTTGAACTTAGCTAAAAACATTAAACTTAAAGAATTGGCTCATGGACATTAACTCAACTTTAGCATAAACAATATTGATCGTTGTTATCAGTGCTTGGTCAAGATCTTATCTTGTGTGACATATACTAACAAAAAATATACATAAAATTTGTTTTAAACGACACAAAGGTTTGAATCCACCGCAACACGTTCACTCATCATGGTTTCAAAACACATGCCCACACCACCATCCTCATTATTTTTTCTGTACGGATCTATCTATCTCTTTCCCATAATACTTCATTTTTTGTATTTTTAAAACATATAGTATAGTATTTTTAATTTTGTATTGCATGTGATAATGTGATGTATGTAGTAGTAGTTAGATTACCAACATCTCAGTTCATAATTATATATTCAAAAAGAAAGATAACAATTAGTGGAAGATGCTTTTAAGTTTCTTTAGGCCAAAAGGAAACGACCCGATTAGGTAGTTGTGGTATCAAATCATTCATTAGCTAACACAAAATATCATATTTGAGTGTTTATACTTGTTATGGTATGAACATAAAGTTGAAAAGAGACGAGTCAACAACAACATAAGTTATGTAATAATATGATTTTGCCATCCATGATTGCGAACAACCTAAAGATAAGTGTGTAAACAAGAGTTTGTGGACTAGTTTCCGTTTTAGATGAGAAATATATTTAAGCGAGTACAAAAAAAATACATATGGAATATAGATTTATTGTTTCCAATAACTTATCATTTTTTGTACAAATGTTGTCATACTTCTCTAAATTAATATATAGATCAATCATACGAAATAGAAAGTAATACAATATAAGATATGTATTTCCAATAATATATAAGATTCAAATACATAAGATTTTCAAAATCATAAAAGTCGATTTAGATTCATTAATCTCGCAAGAGTTTTGATTTGATATACTATTTATCTAAACTTTACAATTTGAGTTTTTTTTTTTCTTGTGAAATTGACAAGTATTTTCTAGTATTCAAGAAAGCAAGAGTTTTGATTTGATATACTATTTATCTAAACTTTACAATTTGAGTTTTTTTTCTTGTGAAATTGACTAGTAGTTTCTAGTATTCAATAAAGCAAGAAAGCATTAGATGCTATGTGTAAGTGATTTAGTGCCTAGCGCTTGAAATGAACTAACTGAGGTGGGCACAACTCATTTGAAAAAGTATAGCGGATCTTTGCTTAATCAGAACCTCAACCATTTTAAGCGATTTAGGTAAATTATAACCTATAATATATACATAAAAATTATATAATAATAACTATTAAAGATAAATATTTTAAGTTTTAAAACTAAAATTAGACAAAAATATATATTTAATTTACATCAAACTATATACAGAAGTTTATAACTATGTATATGAAGATAAAACTTAGTTAAAACGGAAAAATATACTAAAAAACTTCTATAATTTTAGGCAGTCAAAATGATTGTCTAGGCGTTACTGAATACCTAGCGTCTATACAAAACCTAGACAACCCTTAAGACCACTTTTTAAACACTTCTAAAGAATTTGTAAAAGCTAGTCATTTGAAGAGTTTTTTTTTCTTAACTCTTGATATATTATTTATTGTAAATTATGAGAATTATTACAATGACGATTCTACTACGGACATGTCTCCTCCGACCCTATTAAATTCACTATAGATTACACATTTTTCTGACGAAACCTCCTTTTCTATGCATAGAATCACGGCGAACAGCTCTAGTCGTGCATTATTGTAGATCCCATGTAAGTTTGTTTCCTTAATCTGCAAATTAATAAATCGCATTATCCATTTAAAGAGTTATTTTGCATACAAAAATAAATCCCTAAAGAAAATCCTATAATATCATCAAAATACTACTACTCCATTTATGTTCAATTTAATGTTCTCATAGCAACTACTACTATATACTCCCTCTGTTTCATTATAAGTGATGTTTAAGGTTTTGGCACACTAAATAATAAAACATATAACTTACTTATTTTCCATAAAAACATCATTAACTAATATAAATTCAACCAATAAGAAAGTATGATGTAAAATATAATTGGTCAAAAAATATTAAATATATTAAATTTTTGCATAGGAAATTGAAAACATCACTTATACCGAAATAAAAAAAATTGGCTAAAACATCACTTATAATGAAACAGATAGAGTATCTTCTAGCGACGGTTTAGCTTCAATTGATGCTTCATCTTAACACATAACACCTCAAGTGAAGTAAAGTAACCAGTTTCATCCTAAATCAGATTCGAATCCACTATTAGTCCACACCATCTCTTCTTTTTAGTCATTATCTAATTTGGTGTAACGGCCAAAAATCTCATAAAATCGAACCGTGATTATCAATTGACAAATGTAGTTAACAACTTAAACCACTTTAATAAAAGCAATTGTAACGTCTGTTGTTTAACAGCCAAAAGTCTCCTAATCTCGTTAACAAAACCGTGATTACCTACCAATCAAATCATGCTTATTTTATGGGTTTTGGACCCAAAAAAATAACCTCCTCCAAATTGCCATTTTATGCAAGTTAATATTCTAAATTATTAAAATACAGGTTAATTCTATAAAATATAAAATATAATCCGTCAACATTATTGTTAAATTTGTAAATTATTGTTAAATATAATATTAAATCTAATCCCGTTGTTAGAAAATTCAAATCCACTTTTAGAAAATAAAAAAAAAAGTTATTGTGAGTGTAGAAACATTTAGAAAATACACATAAATTTTTTATATTTTTTATATTTTTCATAAGATTTATTTACCTTTTTAATAAGTATATGGTAAAATTATTTAAAAAATGACGATTTAAAATGTTGTTCCCAAATTTTGTACTTTAGTATCAGGAAAGTAATTTATTCACAACTTTCTTGTTCTTTTCCCAAAAAAAAAATTATTGCAACTTTATAAATATCAGTTCATTCTAATCTCAATGTTAATCTTAGTTGAAGAAAAAATAATTATGTTTTAGTGTACTCATTAAAAACCTACTAAAATTTTATTTATATATTCTGGCTTTTAATTTGTAGCAATCTTTTTTCCTTTTTAATTTTTGGCAAAAGCTAAAACATTATATTTTTTTTTTTTGAGACAGAAGAAAATATATATTGAATATTTTAAAGATACAGACAAAAAAAAAAAAAACACAATATAAAAATAAAATAAAAGAAGATGACCGACCGTTTCACCGCTTCTTTCGATTACCCCTCACACTTATTATTAGTTTTTGGCTTTCCATGAAAAAATAAACAAATCAAGAAAGAAGCTGAAGACGAAACATCACCAAATCTTTCATCTTCTACTCTTGTCTCCACTTCTCTTCTCTGTAACATAAACATATTATTATTATTACCAAAGTCATTCAACGTTCCAGCTGTACCTTCTCTGTTCTTTCAAAACTTCAGAATGATCACCACACTTGCTCTCTGATCCGAATTGTTATACTACTTTACAACTTCTTCATAAGGTAATTTTGAATTGTGGTTTGGTTCTTTAATGTTCTGTGATTAAATTGTTTGAAATTTTGGATTCTTACAGATTCTTTACTCGGTGACGAATATGATGATGAGTAGTAGCAGTAGCAACACCACCAACAGTAGCAGCAGCAGCAGCAGTAGTAGTAGTAGTACAATTGTGAGTGAACAGAACAATCTCAATCGTTTTGATCCATTTTGTGTGTTGATGATCTTTTGTCTTCTTGGTGTTGTTCAATTGTTAGATTCAGACAAAATTGTGATTTTGTGTGTGTTTTTGTTATGATCTTGAATGCAAATCTTCGAAAATTGAAGTTCTTGAAGTTCTTTAATTGAACTTCATGCAATCTCCTTGAACTTTTGGGTTTTATATCAAAGACTTTTCTATATTCTTGTTGTAAAAGTTTTTTTTTTTTTTGGTCTTGTTTGGTTTTGAGATGATTGGATATGTATAATTTTCTCTGATTGATGCAGGGGAAGAACCGAAAGGCGGTAAATCGAGAGAAGATAATATCTCTGCAACAAGATGTAACCGGTTTTTTCGAGTTTTGTGTTTCTTTAGTTATGATCAATACACAGTTTTATAGATTGTTGTTTTGTTTCTTGAAAGGTTGAAAAGCTGAGGAAGAAGCTGAGGCTTGAAGAGAACATTCACCGAGCAATGGAAAGAGCTTTTAATAGACCTCTTGGTGCACTTCCCCGTCTTCCTCCATTTTTACCTCCACCGGTTAGTAACTTGGAAAAGATAGCTTAGTTTAATTACTTTTCGCGCAAAATCTTGTTTAAAATTGGGATTTGAGTTTTTGGTTCTTCTTGTTGTAGATTTTGGAGTTACTTGCAGAAGTGGCTGTTCTCGAAGAGGAAATGGTTCGGTTAGAAGAACATATTGTGCATTGTAGACAAGAATTGTATCAAGAAGCAGCTTCTACATCTTCATCGATAGCGAAGTTGAAATGCTCAGCTGATTTGCCTATGCATTGGGAGAGAAAATCAAAGTCAGCTTCTAGTAATGCTAGAGAATCTGAATCTGAATCAAAGTCAGCTTTTAGTAATGTTTCAGGTGAGGTTATAGGATTCTATCTCAGGTTTCCTGATGTGATTTAGACTGAAATATGATGCTAATGTTCTGTTTCTAGATAGTCTGAGGGGTAAAGAGAACAAGTTGAGTGCTAATCCAACGATCAGAACACCGGTGAAGAAAATGCATATTATTCATACACAGCTGAATAAGAGTTTAGATGCTCAGAAACTTCAGGTAAATAGACAATAATTCCATCTTTTAATATGTTTTTGTTGCATAGGTTTACTTTAGATTTTACTTTTCATTAAAACGGCAGGAATGTCATACTCCCCGCAAATCAAATGCAGAGCGGAGGTCTTATGATGGCGCTAAGGGCTGCGACCCGAATAAAATCTCCGAGGATTTAGTTAAATGTCTCTCTAACATTTTCATGAGAATGAGTTTAGTAAAGAAAGCCGCGGTTACAAAATCTCAAGAAAACGCATTCATCAAAGATCCTTATGGAATTTGCACGAGCTTTACAAGAAGGGATATTGGTCCATATAAGAATTTTAAAGATGTTGAAGCAACTTCAGTAAACCGAAATAGAATGTCGTCAAGCTCCTCATTGTTTCTCTACCGCCAACTGAAGTAAGCGCGCGGTTTAAAAAATCCTACTTCAAAAATGAAAGTTTCTTTAGTTGATTTGTGTATTCAAGATTCATTAAAATTCTATTTCTCCAAATTTTCAGAAGTCTGCTTGGAAAACTTTCTTCAGTCAACTTGCAGAAACTTAATCAGCAGGAGAAGTTAGCTTTCTGGATTAACATTTATAACAGCTGCATGATGAATGTAAGAACTAATCAATATCTATATCAATATGTTCCTATCTTGAGGTTATTAACTAGTATTACATTTAAACATTATAGGGTTTCCTTGAACATGGAATACCAAAGAGCCATGATATGGTGACACTAATGCAAAAGGTAAGTCCAAGATTATAATGTTCTACATGAAAAATGAAAAGATAACAAAACAAAAATCATTTGTAAAGGGATTAGTGTTTCTAATTAAGATGGTCCCTTGTGCTTGCAGGCGACTATAAATGTGGGAGGCCACTCTCTAAATGCAATGACGATCGAACACTTCATCCTCCGCTTACCGCATAACTCAAAATATGTATACTCTTCGTTCGCTGGTCCATTTCCTTTTGCTAGAGTTCTCATTATGATCTATTAATGTTCTTTTTGCTTGACCTATATCAGATTTCACCTAAGAGTTCAAAGAAAAATGAAGTGGCAGCAAGAAGTAAATTTGGGTTGGAATTGTCAGAGCCACTAGTAACATTTGCTCTCTCATGTGGTAGTTGGTCATCACCCGCGGTAAGTAGATGTTTATATAAAGATTACTACACTTACTCGTGGTTCGAAAACTAAATGAATGGGTTGAAACATTATGAAGGTACGGGTGTACACCGCGGGTAAAGTAGAGGACGAACTAGAGGTGGCGAAAAGAGAGTATTTGGAAGCATCGGTGGGGATATCCGTGGCGAAAATGGGGATACCGAAACTAATGGATTGGTATAGCCATGACTTTGCAAAAGACATTGAATCATTGCTTGATTGGATTAGCCTTCAGTTGCCTACTGAGTTGAGAAAAGATGCTCTCAACTGTCTTCAACAAGAGATGTCTAAGGCCCCTTCCTCTTCTACTTCTCTTGTCCATGTTATCCCTTATGACTTCACTTTTAGATACATTTTTTCTATCTGAAAATTGTAGGAGAGGTTTGTTTTCTCTCTTTAGTCTTTTGGTTTCGATAGTATTTGTATACACCAACATAAAAAGTACATAAACAAGGAGAAACCGAGATTATCAAATAATGAGATATGAAATAATCTATACTAGTACTAACTGAACTTTACACTTTTTGTAAGAAATTACATATAAATGCTATTTGTCTCGCGGTACATCACGGATTATCTACTAATATTTAGATAAATTATAATGTCTAGATTTGTTATTAGGAAAAAAGAGAAAATGCACTAACAAAAATATGACTGAAAATGTGACATTTTATATTGTTAAGAACCTGTAAAAGTATATTCATTTGACAGTTACATACATTGATAAATCAATAATATAAGACTATACATAATTATATCAAAATTTCAAGAGAATAGATAATATAATCTATTTCATTAGATGTCTACAAAGAAAAGTAAGAAATATAAATTTCATGAAAATGTATATTTTTAAGAAATTCTTCTTGTGTCTCTTTCTTGAAGTGATAGAAAAATGTTGGGCTTCAATTATCATTTGGGTCTCATATCGGCTCAGTGCTTGTAAAGCAAAATCATATGGCCGTTCTGTTTTCTAAAGGCATGAGCTAAATTTTCTCTAGTTCATCGTAGAGTTTTTTTTTCTTATATTTGATGATGATAAAATGTACATAAGTAATGAACATAGGTTCCAGTAGATTAAAATGTTCAATTTTACCAATATTTTCATTAATATGTGATTAAGACTCTTAGTCGACGATACAATTGAACATTCACTTTTCTTTTCTTTTCATCGTCGAAACCCCGTATATTAAGTTATCAGAAATAACATGCAATATACAGATTTAAACAGCGTAGATGTTATTATAAGACCAACATTATCAATAGGATCTTAGCTCATTCTTAGCTTAATATTTGGTTTTTTTTATTTAATTTAAATGGTAATTGATTTTTTTTTTGTGTTATGTGTTCTTATTCAACATTTTTCTTTTAATTTCTTTTGAAAATCCATTTTCTTGTTTCATGCTTTACTATTTTAATTAAAAAAATTAAAACATTGGAATTATTTGGGATATTTTAATTTAATTTTAATTTAAGACCCTAGACTACAAGTCATCTCTAAACGAATCAATTATGAATTTGCCATTTTTTGGACCAAGTTTTTAATTTTGCCATTGTTGGTAAAATATATGGATTTTTCATTTTTCAGGTTAGAAAAATGTGATTAAACACGCGTTTTACTCGTTATGTTTGGTTTTAGTCGGTTCTAATTTTATTTAGGGTTTAGTATTTACTATAAAGTATGTCTTTTAGCAACAAAAAAAATCAAAAAATGAACACTTTTAAAAGTTCAAAAATGGCAAATCTATAAGATTTTAGCAAAAATAGCACATTCGTAAAATTTGCCCTAGAAAATAGCAAAATCCGTAAGAACCCTATCTAAACATTCACGTTCATTTATTTTTTTCTATATAATCATCATTTCAAAATCTAGATAAGTGTTTTTACTTTTTGCCTTTTCACAAGAGTGGTACCTACGGAAAAGATGAAGAAGACATAAGCCATTGCCTTATATGTCCCATAAGGAACATCTCATCAACTATTCTTTTCCCTCCATTAATAATGCTCAATTTAAAAGTTCACCTTTTAGAATAATCATCAACTAAACTTTCAGAAAAAAATATTAAGTTTCTAAAGAAAATATTTTATCACCATTTAACATAGTAACAAAGGACGTCAAAAATAGAAAAGTGTAACAAACAGTTAATGAGACCTGAGAAAGTAAATACTAAGCTCTGTGCCCTGACCACTACCTTCAGGGTTGATCATATACAATGCTTCAGAGTCTTTAGAACCAATCACTCTATCGAATCGAGCTCTCATGTAAGTCATTTCTCCTTCTGTCTCTTGATCATATTGGTTCTTACAAGGTAACACTCCAGCACCCATTGAAACACCTCTTAGTGCATCAATCACATACATCTCCTCCTCACTCATGTTCTTTCTCCTTATCGAATACCCGATTTTTCGGCCGTTACAATAAATCCCCCATACGTACTCTTCCAACACCTTCTTCCTAGATGTCTTTGTCTCGCTTTCTAAAGCAATCCTCACTGTCTCCGAGGCCATTTCCTTTTGTAGCGCCGAAGTTAGCATCGGGAGCTCGATGATGAACATTGGTAGGCAATGAGGGTCTTCTTGAATTGCAAGAAAGACTCTCCCTTTGCGAAAACCGAATATTGTTCCCGTTGTTGCGTAGTCTTTAAGTAAAGGTCTTCGATGCCCTCGGCTTAACAAGTTAACCATCTTGCAACCAGATGATAGCATTGGTATGAGCTTGAACATTTTGAGAACCCCTCCACCAATGCTTCCGGAAGATTTCTTCGAATGTTTAGAGTCCACGGAATTTCCCGTGTGCCGCAAGAGCGAGAGCACAGCCGAGCTATCCATATTGAAGAAGGGGCTAGATCGGATCGGCATAGCTAACTTCTTCTTGTTCTTCTTATTGTGTGTGTTTGTGGATGAATATAAGATTTGGCATATGAAGAGACACCACATATATAAAGATATATAATGGGGAGGGGGGGGGGGGTCTAGTACTAAGTTAGGAAGATGGTTTGTCATTTGATTTGGGAATCTTGGAAAAGAAAAAAAAAAAGAGAAACCAAATTGGTTTTTGGAGACATGTGTGAAGATAAAAAAGGAGAAAACCACTATTCCACATTGTTTCTTTTTCTGGTTTATGAATAGACAATCATGTATTGCCAAGCCACACGTTACCATTTAGTTTCGAATGTTTTAAGCATCAGTTTTGGCGTTTTAGGTTTTACATCCATATACATATTTACAAACACATCTTTCTCTTTTTAGAAACTACTTTGAGAATTTGGTTTTCATTGTAACTAAATTTAGCTAATAAATATATATATTTTATTAAAATTGAAAAATTATAAATTCAGAGAGAAATACATGAAGAAACATAAAAATGTCAATCAGGATAGCTCGACCTAGACCGACAAAATCCACAAACCCTACATGGCTACATATATCATCTAGCATATTAAACTTTGGTCCGAACATGGTATTAAAGCTACTCTTTTTACAAATCCAAAATAATTAGAATGCAAAAATGAATAATCAGTAATACATATGTTCAAAGCTTTTCTGGTTGCTTTGAGATTGGTCGCCCTTAAGTCCTAAAAGTACATACTAGTTCGAAAAACCTTATTCTTTTGGATCAGGCTTGTATATTTAGGTTTCAGTCTTGATTTTTCTATGGTCGGGTCGAACTAGATTTTGGCCCTATATATTTGACATGTCCTACGTTGAAAAACTAGTTTTTTTTCCTCTCTTTTGGTTGGGACGACGGGTTAAGAATGGGGACGAATATGTATGTCTTGTTTGAAAATATTTTTGTTGTAATTTTTTTAGTTAATGATTCAGTAACATAAGTGTAGTATCATGCATTGTTACAAACAAAAACATACCAATATGGGAATGTATTGAATATTATTTTAATGAACAAGTTTTATGCATTAATGGTATGCGGATCAACGACCTATTCCCCCCCCCCTCTCCCAAGAACTATCACATCGTATCAGAACTACACAGAACTTTGATATCATCTTCAAGTTGTAATAGGAATAAAACTATCGATTCGGGTAGTTTGAAGATAAGGTCAAAGTTCTGTTTAGTTCTGATACAATATGATAGTTTGGGGGGGGGGGGAACTATCCAGATTCAAACCCCCATTATACATGTTGTTTGCAAAAATCACTCTCAAGATAAAGATAATGATATACATTCAATGAAAAGAGTGTTATGACTTTTAACAAAAAGAGTACAATAACTTAGCAAAGGAGAGGGGCTACACATGCAGGTCAAGCTAATGAAAACGATGGTAACGAATGATACATATGGATATGACCATATATGCTATTAGATATATCTTTAAACAAACCAATATGTCTTATATATTTCATACTTTTGTTAAAAGATATTTGATAGTGGAATAGAGTACTGAGGGGAGACCACACACCCGAAACGTTCATGGGTGGGGGATGGGTTGGGTCATCATTAAGATAACCAAACCTACACATGTGTATATACTTTGGTCCTTTGACAAACAATTCGTCGAATCACGTTCGATTCTTTTGTGAACAAGCATAAGTTTTGACATATATATTGTTTCAAACAACATTTCTTGTCTTGTAAATGAATTTCAAAAGCTAAAAAAAAAAAAAAAAAAAATCACTCTTGAATTTTTGGGATTAAAGTTTTAGAATACCTAAAATTTGCATTCCTTTTATATGAATCTAAGAAACTAGTAATAGCATTTTCGACGAGTTTACTTCTCAATTAATTTTTAGGAAATGAAATTTTAGTATTTTTCATGTTGATTTTTAAATAATTGAGAAATTTTTTTGAATGATTTAATCTTTGTCAATTATTCCATGTGCTTGATTTTTCTCCAAACACCGGTATTTATTTAAGTGAGACATTTAATTTATCCAAAAGACTTTTATTTCCCTCATACAAGCATGTGATATATTTTCTTTGAGTTCATTTGATATATCATTCATGATAATACCAAATAAACATATTTTGATAGATTCATTCAACCAAAAAATAAACTATATACATTTCACTGAGTTTACACTACCCTATGTGGCTATATCAAAGAGCACTTTAACCAAAATAATTTTGCAAGTGTTATTGACATCTTGAGAAAAAAAAAGTAAAGAGTGGTTTGGCAAAAGGCATGTGCCAATGTCTCAATTAAACTTCAATAAAGCAATCCACTAATGATTGTGTGGGAGAGTCATCTTTACGAATTATTATTTCTTTCAATTTTATCTATAAGCTTTATTTGATAATAACGTCAAGTATGGGCAGCACCAACTTATCAAGAAAAACTTAACTTACCTTTATTGGAGGGGCCTCACTCACTAGACGACCACAATTTAGTTTAGTAGTTGCAAATGAGACACTTGTACTAATCCAAAATCACTTCATGTGTTTTCTTTATAAGTCACTACAAGTTAGTTGTGTATGAAAGGACTTGATAGTCTAAAGATCATAAAACCAAAAACTAGTCGGAAGATCTTAAAGCCACAAGAACTAGTAGATTATATTTGCTAAATATGGTGATCATCATCATGGAAAGAAACACACTCAAGGATTAAGGTATTTAGAAAAAACACATAGAGAATCTGTAGATTAAAGCTATGATTGTAATAAAGCATGAAGTGAAGTGAAGTAAACCATTAATGTGAAAAATGTGGTGTGAAGCTTTTGATGTGAAATAAATTGCATAGAATAAAACATGTAAAATATGTATGGAAAGAATATGTTATGTAATATTCTTAAAGTACTATAAATACCAAAATTGGTGAAGAGAATTCATTAAATCACGTACTATAAATTCCAAGTTTGGTGAAGAAAATTCATCACAAGCTTTGAGTCTTTTCGATATCCCTTAATGCATGTACTATAAATATCAAGCTTGGTGAAGAAAATTCATCATAAACTAAAATCGTAAGAGTCTTTCACTCTTTTGTAATCCTTTGAGTGTTTCAATAATAAAAGCTTTATCGTATTGTATAAAATGTTTACCCATTGAGTCTATTTAGATAAACACTTTCCATAAATTAGTCTTTCATATCTAATAACTTGATCCTAATAAACTTTCAACGTGGTTGTAATCCAAATACCAAATTTTCAGGTTACGAACTTATCATGAATACTTGGAAATGAACACAATCGAAATAAACGAAAAAACATAGATTTATACGAGTATTTTGCGAACCATTGTGGCGGAATCAGTCTATGTCCCAAGAATGAGTTCCCACAACTTACCACTAACATATGAATTGTTTGTTAGTCTTTATTGGTCTTTGATGAATATAACATTTCAATCATTTAGATTATGTTGATATACTGCTAAAAGCTGGCTCGGTGTCAAACTGTCATTTAGAATTTAGAGGAAAGTGCTGCAAAAAAGTATCAACAACCAAACCACAATAACCCTAACAGACAGACATTTCAAAAACTAAGAGTTATGTTCAGTTTCTAGTCTTCTCCACCTGAGGACTTAAAGCTCATTTACAACTTCTACTCAATATGTTCCACCTGAAGACTGCCAAAATGTACCTTAGAAATAGAAATAGAAATAGTGGAGGAATCCATAAGAAAATGGTGAAAGGAAAAATATATTCTCACCTGTACAGAACTGTCCAGAGGAGAACTTTTTAGTGCTGTTATGTTCAGAACCTGAACAAGTTACAACAGTATCTTTAGACAGCCTTAAAAGGTAGACAATCTTGGTATTGTGACACTATCTATTCATTAATTCCATTAATAGCAATCCTAAAGGCATTGAAAATTTTTATCGAGTTCGAAGAAACGATACCTGTCACATTCTTGAGGAGGATGGACGGTAATCCTCATATACCCAGGAAGTTTTTTCTGAAGAATTAGGCGCTAGCCTGCCTTTTAGCCACCCGAAGCGAACAATCAGCTCTTCCAAGTCCATGACAGCAGCCACTACAGACTCTGATTCCATGATGTTCAATGGAAGATCATCATTGCTTTCCATCTTTTCTGTGGATCTCTGGTTTTTTTCTTCTCTTGATTCAGCTACGCTCACTTCATCAGGCGGTCTCTGCTTTTCTTCTTCCATGGATTCAGCTGCACTCACTTCATCTGACGGTCTCTGCATTTCTTCTCCCATAGATTCGGCTCCACCCACTTGACCTAATGTAACAACACAAAAAGAAAACATTTGTTTTCCACATTAACCAAACTATAAAGATAAACAAAAGGAGTTAACAGCTAAAACATTGGGAAAAATAGCATTGTTGTTAAAAAAAATTCTAACCTTCATTCACATGTTTCACTAGCTTAGCGCATTGCCTCTTTTCCCCATCCTGAAAGAAAAATGGATGATAAAACAAGCTTAGCAACAATAACAACATGATAACAAAGTTTAGAGTATACAAATGATACTTTGCATCACTTCCATTACCGTTTTGGATCACTTACACATACTGAAATTGTTAAAAACTTAAAATACATAAGACTTAATTAACGAGATTTAAGCCGTGCATAAAGAAACAACAAAACAACTTTAGAGTCATAACTAAATAGGTATTATTTGCATTAAGTTGTTACATCCATCCCTTCTCAAATACTAACCTTAGAAAAAGGCACAGTCCAACCATCGTCAAGTGACCATTCCAGCGATGGACGCACATCCTTAGACAGAGCCTCGTATATACTCCCTTCGCCATATGGTGGTGCCAGCAATTCAATCTGTGAAATAGATCAAAACGAAGTGCACACTCATTTTCTACTACCAAGTACATAAGCCTGCATCTAACGTCACAAAATAAAGCTTAAATGGAACTTGTGGAAGTAAAGAGGATATGAGCATAAACACAGGATATGACCATATAGTAGTCGTACGTATCTCATCTTCCTTTGTTAAAGTAAAGAGAAACCAAGGAAATAAAAAGCATGAAATCAGAACAAGAGCATTTGGAGTAACAAAAACACAAGCAGTTTGTAAGAAAAACCCATGTAAAAAACACTAGTCGAGAAATCATGTGATCATGCAATTCCAAATATACAGAGTATAAAAGTTCAAAAAACCAATAGCAAACTTATCTGCAACATAAACCTTTAATTACCTGTAGTGAATCATTGTCTCTCACTTCCAGAACAGTCCCAGACCAATAACAATAGTCTTCCCACCAATCAACCAAATCACCAACCTTCCAAGAATCATGCACAACAATAGCTTCTCCCCGACTACCCTCCTCATTCAGGACTTCACTTTCATGAAACTTTCTTGGAAACACAGGTCGAATCATTAAGTATTTCTCACTCCCACCTTCACGTTGCTGAAACACTTTTGTTGTATGTATATCTGAGTAATAAGTAGATAGATTATAAACATGTTTACAAAATTACATCTTAACAATCATAAACTCTGCATAAATGTATATATAGTCAATGTAACATTAAAAAATCGAAACTACCTTCTCCTGGATAATCAAGATACTCCACATTGTAGTACAGTGATCTCCCTTTCTTGAATATCTTCAGAATCTAAATAAAATAATAAAAACGCAAAACATTCATCTTTTACATCAAACACAATTGTCCTAATATTAGACAAGGATTAACAAAAGGAGTACCTTGCATTGAAACCAAGCTCCACGATAACCCGATTCGAAAGATCTTAACTCTACACTTTGACCAACTTCAAATGGTGGTAGATTGATCTCAGCCATTTCCTTTTTTTTGGTGATCAAACCGTTAACTGCATTTAGTAATCAAGAATGTATGTAATATACCAAATAAAACATATGAATATATGATACAAAGATACGGAAACTTCAATTTTACAGATACAAATCTCTCATTTAGGATATGGAAACTTCAATTTTACAGATATAAATCTCCAAATCTCTAAATTTACAGATAAATCTCTAATTCTACAGATAAACACAAAACAAACCATAAGGATATGGAAACTTCAATTTCACAGATACAAATCTCAAATTTGATAAATCTTTCAATAAATCTGGAGTTATACCAAAGTATTATAAACTAGTGTGAGCAGTTCATAATCAAAACAGAGTCTTACCAAAGATCGCAAGCAAGAAACGAGTCTAGAGAAAACACAGCTCCATTAAGATTTCTCTACCTGAAATAGCATTTCGCATCATCTTAGTTCACGATTAGATCAAATTAAGCTCGACGAACCTAGCTCCGTTGGAATACAAAACTCACCTTTGAAGATGAAGCTTCGTCTTCGATAAACCCTAACGATCTCTCTCTCTGGGTTTTTCCCTTTTTGTTAGTGAAGAGTATCACACACACCTACAAAATGAAGAGGAGGATAAAGCATTTCCATGTAAAGATAGGCCCAATAACAAACCCAATAAAATTAAGCCCAAGTTTTGTTTTTCAGAATCATTTGGGCTTTAATTTAAGTTTGAGCTTACTAATGAATCATAGACTTTATCTTGACCCTTAGAGCAACATTATAGGTAGTATGTTAATTAGGGTATCTTACATTAATTTAGTATTAAATTTAAAAAAGTAGAATTTAAGAGTTTTAATTCTGTTTTTAGTTCTTAAGTTGGGTATCTTAGAAAAAATTATTTAAAAAAAAAAAAAAATAAATTTATAATTTGTAACTTAAGAAAATCTTATAATTATTGCAAATTTAGAATTTGAAAACATACAAAAGAGAGAAATGATAAGATAGAAATTATAACATAAAGTACGGTAAATTTAAACTTGATTGCGAGAAAATTTAGAGTGTTCGACCAAATCGTTCTTCAATTGTTCATGCTTAGCTCGATCTCGAAGTTGAGTTCTAACGGCCATTAGATTGACGAGATTTGAAGGCATATTTGTATCATACGAGAAATCCATTCGTGTACTTCCGGCAGTTTCCGCTTGTTGAAATTCAGTGACATAAACTGAGTATACATATCTCGTTCATCTTCATCTGATTAAAATATTTTCTTCCCACTAAATATTTATCATCTTAGCCAATCAGATTTTATAAAAAAAAAAAAAAAATCAATCAATCAGAGTCTGCCACGTACGGCGTCTCTTAACCCACCAATGGTATCTTCTCCAACATACTCCAGCATAGGTATCTTAACATTTATTATGTTTTTTAATTAAAATTTAAATGCTATTAATGTTAAGATACATCTTGCTGATAATGTTGGTCTTATTAGTTTGTGTGTGTGCCGAAAAGACAGTATAATAGTGTGAGTGGGATTTCAAGAGACAAAACTAGTATGTTAAGGTTTTGTTTAAGATAACTATTGGATATTTATCAAGTATTAATATCCATGACTGTTAAGATAATTTCTCCACCAATTGAACTGAAATTTTGATAGGGTAATTTTAGGTTAAATAGCACTAAAATGGGAACGAAAAGTCGAAACGGGTAGAAAAACAGAGACGGAAAACTGTAAAGAAAAATTTATGGATATATATACGGCAAAGATATTTCAATAAATATACTGGAGATGGCAACCAAATAGAAGTACACATGTTTCCTAAGTTCTACACTGGTTTTATATAGAATTTGTAGAGTTGAGACTGTATTTTTCGATTAGGAATTTAGTGAACAAATGGTCGTTTGAGATTTGTAAATCTTCAAGGATATATCATCTTTATGGCTCTTTTGTTGATTTCATGACTCAGTTGAGAGTTCTAATTGTGTAGTATTTTGATTTGTTTTTGAATTGTGACTTTGCTTATTTCTCAATTCTTAAGAACTAGTTTCATCAACATCAATATACAACACAGATTGAGAAATAAGAAAATCCTTACTAATTCACTACTAAAACCTCTCTATTGTCTTATATTAATCCATTATATCACATGATCAACCTACTCTACTGTTCCACTATTTTACTATTCCTCTAACATATCAAATCAAACTCTATTTATTTACTTGTTTGCAAATCTATATAAAAATTTTGGACTAGTGGGATCTTGGAATTAGCTAAGACTTAACAAGCTATAGAATCACTTACTTGAACATTTTCGTAGAAACATTCAAGACTAAGAATTTCATACTTGAGAAACTACATAAGAAGCTATTCTTAAACATACACAAATGAAGAAATGATCGAATGTGATACAAACAATGATAGGAAGAAAAAAAAAGCTGGCGGTGACTAATTAACCAGACGGGTGAGGATGGGGCGAGATATTTCTACTACAGCCATGGTCAACGTAGCTTGTTGGAACTCTTAGTGAGAGCATATGAGTAACCCGATGAACGAGAAGAATAACTTATTTGGGAGAGATTTTCTAATCCAAAAAAAAATCCGTCTTTTGGCTTTAGGAGTTTCCTATAAAGGGATTAGAAAAAAGTAAATTTAAACATTTTACAATAAAGTCAAGTAAACTTGAAAAAATCTAGACTTATTATCTCGAAAAAATCTCGTTTATTTTCTCTCGTCCCAACTCAACAGTAGACTCCGATCCGTCAGGAGATTGTACAACAATACCTACACCATAATCTACTTCCGTTCTAGGTTCCTCTACGCTATCAACAATATATGGTTCGTTAGAATTATCGTACGAGGGTCTTTCACCATGGAGAAACCAAATCTTGTAACCCGTCATAAAACCATTGGCATAAAGATGACCCATACAAAATCAATCCTAATATTATAAGAATTCTGACAATGCAAACATGGACATTTCACCTTATGGGTGTTTTTTACGCTCAGTTGTTGACTAACTAAATCCATAAATTCTCCTACACCACGAGTGTACTCATCCATCCACGATCGAAAATAATAAGAAGATGACATTTTTCGTATTTTCTCATACATTAACAAGTGAGATGGTAAGAATGAATGGCTTAGGTATTTAAGGGGGGGGGGGGGGAAATAAGGAGTCCATCAATAATCAGTTGGTAATCTTACATTAAAATATATATTTACCAACGGATTTCTGAAAAAATATCAAAACAGTAATACTCCGTAAGTAATCCGTCGATAAATTTAATGGATTACTGATGGAATTTAATTCGTCAGAAATCTGTCGATAATATTGATAGATAACCGACAGATTACTGACGATGTAAAATCCTCGTTAAAATAACGGACGGATTCGGTTACATTTTCCGTCTATAATCCGTTCGGTATTCTGTCAGTAATTACCTACAGAAATATTGCCGTCGGAAAGTTTGTTAGTTACAACCTTGTTTTCTTGTAGTGAATTATAACAAGAACGATCAAGCAGAGTATAGTTTGGAGCAAATTCCAAAACGTATATGGCTTGGCTCTCACTTACAGAGATTTGAGAGATATACAAACACTTTGACACTCATCAACTCATGTTACGTACGGACCTTACGTTATTTCTCTCATGCATGCATTGCATACTCGTAATTGGAAGTCTAATGTAGGTTTGAAGAGAGCTCTAAAATCGATTATTTTTTGAGAAATAAAATAAGATATAATATAGAATACAGTAAAACCTTTATAAATTAATACTCTATAAATTAATAAACACTATAAAATAATAAATTTTGCTGGTCCCAAGTTGTGCCAATATAAAAATTGACCAAATTCGATAAGATAATAATTATTTTGACACCCCTATGTAAACTATAGTCCCAATAATATCATAAATTAATAATCACTCTATATATACATATAAGTAGATATATTAATATATGTTTTTAGGGTTTGATAAAAATGAATTTTCTCCTAGAGTTCACCTTAATAAATAATTTTATGTTAGTATTTTTTTAAAACAATAATCTTGTAATATATATCATCACAAGTTATAAAAATAACAAAATTTTCTTTATGTTTTCAATTTTTAAATATGCATCATATTGTTGAAAAAACAAATATGCATCATATTCATTTTTCATATATAGGATGTTAAAATATAACAATTGAGGTTATTAATAGAGATATACATTTGAATTTATGTATATCATTTGTGTAAATGAATTTATCTATAATATTTGTATTTATAGTCAAATTTCTTTGTTTCCTAAATATAATATTCACTTTCAAACTACTGTATAATTTATAAAATTTAAAATATTAGTCTTGTTTTTGTAAAATTGTGTCAATTCATATTTTTTAAAAAAATTGAAAAACTAAAAATACCACTATAAATTAATAATTATTAATTTACACTATAAAATAATAATTATTAATTTATAGATAAATTAATATCACTATAAATTAATAAAATATCTTTGTCCCAACATTATTAATTTATAGAGGTTTTACTGTATTTGGATGATTAGATTTCCTTTCATGGTTGGGATTATGTGAGAGATTTAACCTTTTCAAAGTCGGTCTTGGATATGAAAAAAAAAATAGTTATAAATCTGAACTCAGGAGATCAATCATATATCTCAGATCGTTTTGTGACACAATCTTTACTCTAAAGAATGTCCAAATACGTCAAACAACCGCAAAATAAAAGGCATAAGAAGAACGAGACGTCTCTATCTCTGTCATCATCGTCTAGATCGTTATCGTTGCTTTCCCATGATGTTACTTTGAACTGCTTGTCCCGTCTCTCAAGATTGGACAGTGCGGTCTTGTCTCTAACCTCCAAGAGCTACAGCTCTCTCTTAGTGTCACATGACTTCTGCCGCACACGTGAGTTGATGGGTTGTAAAGAGGAGTACTACTATGTTTGCTTAAGCATCCCTCCTTACCCAACTCCACGTTGGTTCATACTTCGTCGTGGAGGGCCAAGTCTAGATGATGTCGCCGTGGCGAAGAAGTCTGTGAATCGGTGGTTGAGACCTATCCCAACGTACCCTTATCAGCCTCCAGAATCATCTTCTTTCGTGGTGTTGGATTATGTGATCTATGTAATCGGTGGGGTAATACAAGGAACACCTACTTCAGATGTCTTGGTTCTTGATTGTCTCTCTCACTCTTGGCGTCGCATTAGGTCTATGAGAGTAGCTCGTGCTTCTGCTGCTGCAAACGTTGTAGATGGGAAAATTTACGTGTTTGGAGGTTGTAAAGAGTTTGATTCCTCTAACTGGGCAGAGGTTTTTGATCCAAAGACACAAACTTGGGACACATTGATATTACCTGATTTAGAGATATGTAAGAACACAAGTATGATTGAGAAAAGTGTAGTGATTGAAGATAAAGTTTATGTGGTGGACGAGGAAGAACAATGTTTTTACTACATGCCACGTGAAGGTATATGGAGAAGAGGTATTCGAGATTCTAAGTTAGGAAACAGAAAAGACTGGTGTGCTATAGGGAAACTGTTATATTGTTATGGTACTCGCGGGAAGATACTATGGTGTGAGGCGGATGAGTTGGATCGTTGTGAGGCAGAGGAGTTGAATTGGAGAGAAGTTGAGGGTTTAGGTATATTGCAGTTTGGTTCAAAAGCATGTAAACGTGGTATTGAAGAGAGTCTTGCTTGGAAGCTACACTGGACTATGAATAGTTTCAGCAGACTAAGTAGCAACTCTCGTGGGAACATTGTTGTGTTTTGGAAAGTGCTTATCCCTGGTACTGGGAAGTTGCAGCTTTGGTGTGCAGAGATTTCTATGGAGAGAAGAAGCCAAGGAGGTGGGGTTTGCGGGACAATTGAGTGGACTGATGCTGTCTCTGGACTTGGTCCTAATTCGTATACTGTTAAGGTTTTGTATTCTGTTTCTCTCAATGTTTGAAACCGTTATGGTTTTGTTTGGTTCCAAGTTTGTTATGCCATCTCAGATTAATCTCATTGCATGTAACTTTTTTGATATTTTCATGACATGTTTTAGTTTTTGTAGATGACCTTTGCATTGCATGACAAAAACCCCTTTAGTTGGTTTTAACTTTTAAGGTAATATAACCATTTTTTTTTTTTTTTTGATTACTCAGGGTAAATCCCCGGACCTATTGAAGGATCCGAGACTAATCCCTGGGGAGAGGGTATCCCACGGGTAGGGTCCCCCCCCCCCGTTTTTCAAATGGGCCTTAAGCAAGAGGCCCATACCCATGTGGCCAAAGGGATAAAGCTAGCAATTCTGCGTCTGGGGAGAATCGATCCTTGGCCTAGACCAACAGGGCGACTCTTCCACCAGACTAGAACCACTAGTCCACCACCTCTGGTTTTAATATAACCATTTTGTCACCGTTTGTTGACGTTTTCTGGTTCTTGTCCTAACTTAACCCTGGAATGATATCCATGCATGGTCAAGAACTTGATCTTTTTTGATGTAGTGAGGAGATATATGAAAGAAAATTCATAGCTGTTGAAGCGAATACCCCGGCGACAGATTCGGACTGTGTTACTGTTCACTCATGGATTCAGGTTTTAGGAGCTACTCGTTGGGAGGATGGGCTTTGCACATGGTTAGTTGGCCACACGATTTTACAATAAGACCATCCACATTGGTAAACCTTTTAAGAATGTCTTAAGCATAACTTAATATGAAATTTAATATTAGTTTAATCTAAACACCCCACTAACTTTGTATTGATACTAGATTTTGATCCGCGGTACACCGCGGGATCAATTTATTTTAAAAAATTTTGAATAAAAAATATTATATATATATATATATATTTCTTTTTGAGAAATCTATTTTCATATGTATATGCATACGTAGATAGGGTAAATTTGCATTATAGTACGTTTTTGAAAGATAATATGTTGTTTCATACGTTCACTATTTATAATTTGCAAAATAAGTGGGTGTGTAATAGGGGTTGTGTGTAATAGAAGTTTTTGTGGGGTAAGAGGCTGTTGGGTGAAAAGACTAAAATAGGGCAGATGAGACGTTTGTGTTTGGCCAATAGAGGGTGGACGAGTTTGTTTTTGGCAGAGAGAGAGGAGGTTGTGATGGGTTTTATATTTGTAAACATTGGGCCGATATAAAAAGCCCATTCAGCAAGAATGTGTATGTTTCAGAGACGGGATGTATAGGGAACGAAATCAGGGTTGACATTTATCCTAATTGAACCAGAAAGCTGATTGGTTTACTGGGATTGAAGTCAAAGATGAACTAGTAGGAGGGATCTTGTTAGGAGATAGTCTAGAGACGATAATCGAGGAAGATATTTAGTGAAAATGCTACAGTTTTGGGGGGAACACTGTGGATCAAATATGTTATTAGGGACGACATTTAACCTAATTGAAGCTTAGCTTGGGACGAGAATTGAGTCATAAAACAGATTAGGAGAGGTTAATCAACGATGGAAGGTAATAGTAAACAGTTGCAGCTAGACTCCATATTTTTGTGTACTGTAATTGCAGTGGACGATGTGGTTGTGGTGCAAGCGGGCCGGTGGATTCTGTACAGCACCGGAGAGTGGGATTTCAAGATGGACTCAACCAGGCGAAGGAGGTATGTTAGGTTGTTAGAGGTGTCAAATCTGGCCGAGCTTGAGGAAATGATTAGTGTGATATACATAATAGAAAGAGGAAGCAACTGTGTGGAGCTAAGTTATTTGTTTGATGACAAACTCGCTGAGCTGAATGGGATACCACACGGTCCAACACTCATAGGAGACGAACGACAATTCATGTGCTTCAAGTCGCTGAGCATGGCCGATAGTCTGTAAATTTGTATGTTAGTATAACAAATAGAGGAAGGTTTTTATGTTCTGGCTGCCCCTTCTGTTGAGGTCGTAACTAGTCTGAGGATTGTTGGAGTGGTTGAGCATCCTGAAATAGGTAATGCCCTGCAAACAATTGAGCATGGTTCCTGCTCACAAACACAAGGGAGTGTTGGGTACTTCTCAGGGCTACTGTCAGAGGCAATGGGTTCCAAAAAAAGAGTTGGTGAAGAAGGCCAAAGCACATATGTGGTAATAGAACCAACAAAATAGGCGGATACAGTGGAAGATGGTATGAGGTCATGTGAAAAGGGTGATAAAGCTAGTGAAATGATTTATGATGATGAGATGCTTCTTGGTTTGGTAGAAGAAATTGAGGGTGTGGTTCTAACAACATGGTATACCTCAGATATGATGGAAACTAGTGACGAGGAGTCTAATTCTGATTACAATAGTTATGGAGGGAGTGAGCAAGAGGATGATGATGATGCAGTCTACGATTCAAGCCCACATTTGGTGGTAGGAGATGGTGATGATTTTGTAACTCCACCGCCATTAAAGAAATCAAAAGGGAAGGGTCCAATGATGGAAAGTAGTGGAGGTGAGATTAGTGAGCTAGGAAAAAGTTTCACAAAGGGCATAACAATTACAGATATATATGGCTATGAGGATCCTGAGCCAATGTTTAGAGATGATGAAAGAGATAGAAAGGCTAACCATGTGGATTTGACTAAGGAGGATGATGATATGTACGTTGGGAGAACATTTTTTGACAGAAAGGATTATAGAGTGGCATTGTCGGTGTACGCGATTCATCGCATTTTCAGGTTCAGATTTACAAGGTATGAGAAAAATTCTCTGGTTGCCGAGTGTTACGACAAAAAAAGTTTATGCTCACCAAGTGGGAGACACTGAAGAGTACGAAGTTAGAAAGGCAAACTTTACACACCGTTGTGATGTACAAGCATAGTAAGTTCTCTAAACACGCCACGTCCAGGGTAATTGCTGCATTACCGAGGGCGAAGTATGCAAAGGCGTATTGTGCTCCAAGGGCAAGAGACTTACCAGATAGTATGCTAACTAACCACAATGTCCGGATGACTTACTGGAAAGTTTGAAGGGCCAAAGAATTGGCGGTGGTGACAGCTCACAGAACTGAGGAGAGTAGTTTCATGTTGTTGCCAGTTTATCGACATGTCCTACAAGTAGCTAATCCACATACTGTGTACAATCTGCAAACTGGGGTACAGTTTTTAGTGTCGTTGGAGAAAAAAACATGCAGCTGCTTGGAGTTCCGGAAAATTAACCTCACATGCTATCATGTAATGGCTGCAGCGAATCACATAGGTTTGGAATACATGACACTGGTGGGAGAGATGCACAAAATATCAGTTTGGTCTCCAACAATGGAGGAACCAATACTTCCTGTCCAAGATCCTGGGGAGGTTATTGTACCTAACGAGATAAGGGTTTTGTGTTTGATGCCACCAAAGTCAAAAAGACATACTGGAAGGCCACCTAAACTAAGAATACATTTAGCAGGCGAAACTGAGATAACTATTTTCCTGAAATTTTAATATGGTGTTTCATAGAATCTAAACATGTCTCCAATTATATGTTTTAGGGGGACAAAAAAACAAAGCAACCAAACAAATGTGGGCGTTGAGGAGGGATTGGACACAACAGAGTGACATGTTCTGCTCCGCTAGGTTAAAGAGTATTGATTGGGATGGACGATTTTTTTTATGACACTTAAGATCACAAAGGGGTTAGTTTAATCGCCATTTTTTTGACATTGTAATTTGTATTCCTATTAGATGTTGGATGATGCGATGTTTAATTAGCAGACGAACTAAAAACCTAAATACCAAATCATATCAATCATATGCTAATATGATATTGGTACTTTAATACCGATGTGCAGTTGGACCGGAGGTGGAGACGGCTACTCTGGTGTATGACCTTAGATCTCGACGACCATCCACTCCGAATCTACAATAACTATCTTCATTTGGTTAAACATCATTGTCTTTTTGTAGATATGTGAAAAAGTAGATGTGGAAGATAAGAGTTGAGCGAAGATGAGAAGGGATTGAGGGAGAAGAAGACCAAGAGTCAAGAGACAATGAGAAGAAAAGAGTAATTAAAGAAAAAACAATTCTTTTAGGTTTATTGAAAATTGTTTGAAACCTAAATTTTACTTAGACGGGGCTAAATTATTTTTGCACGCTAATTATGTGACAGCGTTTTATTAGAGCATGTATTAGTAAAAACCAAAATTTTTAGCACGAGTACAATTATTATACAAGGATATCATAACATAGCGTTTTTAAATTTAGAAACGCTATAAAAATATCAATGGTAAGTCAAACATAGCAAAAGCATATAAACTGCTATCTTCTATTGCTATTAAAACATGATATTCTTGTAGTGATTACTCCACAAAAAGTCGGCTATAGTAATAGATATATTAGAACAAGTGGTTTTTGGAAGTTTGATACAAGATATCACATACACTGGCATCACCAAAGCCATAGATTTTAGCAATAGTTCCCTCCCTAAGATAAAACCTAGAAAACCACCCAGAGAGCTTTGCCTTGAGCCTATCTTTAATATAGTTCAATAATTCCACCTTTGAACCACTAAAACATTCATGCATTCCAAGGTACGTTCCACCCCGACCCTCTTTATTGATCCCCAGTAGAGTTTGCAAGGAAATCTTCACTTGGGGATCAATTTTTTGAGCCAAAAGTTATAGAAGATTTGCTCAATTTGATCACTTGGCCAGTAGCAGCCCCATACTTGTTTAAGACTTCTTGTAAGAATGCACCTTGTATCAAGGAAGCCTTACACATGAAAAGGTTGTCATCCGCAAAAAGAAGATGATGCACTTCTGGCCCTTCCTCAGAGAACTTTATACCTTGCAATCTGCCTTCCTCTTACCCTTTGTTGAGTAAGTGAGTTACACCTTCTGTACATAGCACAAAGAGAAAGGGAGGTAAAGGGTCACCTTGCCTCAAGTCTCTTTGTGGAGTGATCATACCAAAAGGTTGGTCATTTATGAAACTGAGAAAGTGAAAGAAGAAACACAGCAAATCAGCCAATCAATCCACCTTTGATGGAA